AGGAGGAACCTTTCAACCTCACCTCTCCCCCCTCTCCCTTGGATTCCCCCATAGATACGGGTTTTGCAGCTTGAACCAGAACCCGAAGACGGGTATATATTGCGCTGCCGGGTCGCGTTTTAGTGGATACAGGTGTTGGGAGTATGTACATGGTGAGGAACACGAGGAGGGTACGGTTCCAGAGCAACGAGTCATCCGGGCGGGGGAGGGATGAGGTTTTAGTACGGTCCCCTTTCTCAACACTATAGTCGAGCTCGTGGTGGGAGCGTATGTGTACCAGTAGAAGTTCGGATAGTCTGATTCAGGTCCCGTGGCAGTGGCGGGGCTCCGGGACTCTTCTCTGAGGGGAGTTTTGTTTGCGTGGGTGGGTGCATTTCGGAGGTCTGAATCACCGCGCTTCCCTCCTCCGTTCCTATCTCTTATTTTAGCAATCTCTTCCCTTCAAACTTTCACTCAGCCGTGGTTTTCTTGCTTTTCTGGAAGCCAGGAGCGAATTCTGCTGAAGTTTCCTCGGTCCAGTTATCGCTTGTGGGTCCCTTGATTTATCCCTCTTTTTAGCTAGTTTCCGATAAGTTGAAGCCCAAACTTCCGATTCATGCCACTGAGGTTGCTTGAGTGCGCTGGTCACTTTTTCTCCTACGCTTTCCCCACTAGCAAAATGTAAGGAATGAGTTCATTACCACCACATTAGCATAGATTATAATAGAGCACAAAATATTAATAAATAAATAGCAACACGCACCAGACTAGCCGGTGCGATCATGCGTCTTGTGCAATTCAGCCCATCGAACGATTGCCTATTAATGATTTTCACTGCTTTGTACTTCTGTCTATGTAAAAATAGTTCAGACATTGGAAAACAGTTAAAAATTTCACGCACCAGCGCATGAAAACTGAACTCGAAACCTTGAAGGATGAATATCTTTCCGTACCCGAGTTAATAGTTTACCCGCCAAAATTTTCACGAGGCCGTAGGTGGTGCCCGAGAGAGCGAGAGCGCTGAATTTGAATGGGCAAGGTTGAGCATGGGCAGTGGGTCATTACCCTAAAATTTCAGCCTCCT